TTCTTCCTTAGTCATTATTGATATCGCTATCTATCATTATATATCTATTTTTACCCTAATTTTTCTCTCTTTCTAGATGTCTATGTTAGAAAATTTTTAAATCAAATCGTAGAAGGTGCAACTTATTTGTATTGTTCAGTACTTTTTTGCTTACTTTTACTCCACCTCTCATTAGTTGTTCTTGTGATTCAATCTTTTGGGTATGGTTATGGGGCCACACAACTTTGTTTAATTTGATTGTTAAAAATATCTGATAACTGATATTTATTATTTAACATATTGAAATTAGTTTATTAATTGATATTTTCAGACATTATATAACCAACTGCTTAAGAAAATAGACACAATATCAGTTAAGCTAAACAATTTTTGTGTGGCCTTAACAAAATGGGTGGCCGGCCATATCCACACCCAATCTTTTAGCTTCTCCATTACAATTTATCATTATATTTATCTCTATATTAGACATTTACCATATCTTTTCCTCTCTATATTAGTTCCCTCTTAATATAAGTTATTTATTTGTTTTTATTCTTTCTCTAATTATTGTTGCATCTCTATTATTCTTTTTAGTCATTCCTTACATCTTACTATGTCATTATATATCTCGTTTTACCCTAATTTTTCTCTCTTCCTACCTCTATAGTAAAAATGTTTTATGTTAAAATTTAAAAGGCATAGCTTCCTAGCATTGTTATCTTCATACATTTTCACTTGCCTTTACTTCACCTTTCATTATTATCCTTCCTTCATTCTATATTATTATTTCGTAATTGCTCCTTGCATTTCCATATGACACTATATATATTTTTTAACACTAATTTCTCTCTCTCTCTCTCCCTCATTGTCTATATTAAAATGTTTTTGGCTATACAATAAATGGCACAACTTCTTAATATTATTCTCTAATTCTTTTCAATTACCTTTACCTTTACTTAACTTCTCTTATTATTAATTCTTCTTGTGGCTTAATTTCTCTCCTTATCATCCCCTCTCTATTAGTCTTCTTTAGCCATTATTGGTATTGTTATCTATCATTATATATCTCTTTGTTTCTACCCCAATTTTTCTCTCTTCCTTGTTGTTTATATTAGAAAATTTTAAAGTTAAAACATAAAAGAGACAGTTTATTATTATTGTTCATTGGCACCTTTTCACTTACATTTACTTCACCTTGTTGGCCCAGATGGCAACCCCAGAGGGGGGGTGAATTGGGTTTTCAAAAACTTTATGTAACTTTCAAAAACAAAAAAAAATGAACAAACACAAGCAATTGCAAACAACTAATTTAAAGTGTAGAAATTAAAAGTTAAGGGAAGAGAAAGCTCAAACACAAAGATTTATAGTAGTTCGGTCACAATTTGTGCCTAGTCCACTCCTCAAGCTGCCTACTTGAGAGTTAGTTTTGGATTTAGAATCTCTCCTCCAACTTTCAGGTTTAGAGGCAACCATTTGCAATAGCTTTGTTGGCGCTATCCACCTTCAACAATTCAACCCCTCGTTACAACGTCTCACAAACCCAATCCTATCCCACAATGATGGTTTTCTCTAGATCTAACGAGGTTACCCAATAGCTTAGGGGTGCTATTGAATTGTTAATCCCCTTGTTACAAATCTCTCAACCCTTTCTATACCTCAAGGATGGATTACTAGATCTAACAAGGTTTCCCCAATCCCTCTCTCACTTGTTACAATGAAAGAGAACAAGAAAAGTAGGAGAATTCTCAAAGCACAAGGTAAAAACTTAAACACTCTTGGTTTTCAACTTGAAGGCTCTTTTCTTCATTCTTCTCCACTCTTCCAGATTTGGTTCTTATAACTTAAGAGTGCTGAATCAATGTTTTTACCATTGGAGCTCCTTTTTGGATTGCATATATTCCAAATATGGTAGGTAAATTAATGTTCCAGTACAGGGGGTTGGAACTTGGAAAATTTTCTGCATAAGCCTTCAAAAAACAAAATCATCAAGGGTTCCAAACCTTGTCCCAAGGGTTGGAACCTCAACTACAGAATGCACTTTATGTTTTTGGCTCCCCACAACAAGAAAATATAATCATGAAATTAAATGGACTTTTACCCTAAAGGAAACACATTCAAAACTTAATATATGAAAATTAATTCAATATTACTAAGAATAAATCATATATTCACAAGTAAGTCAACTTCAAATCAATTCAATAAATAATATATTCCAATTCACATTTGGTTTTCAAATCATCAAAATCAAGAATAACACACCTCTCATTGTGTCTTTTGTAACTCCATCTCTTAACTTCCCTCATCACCATTTATCATCGTATTTTTCTTTTATGTCCTACATTTTCCATCTTTTTCCCTTTCTATATTGAGTTTTCCTAACTTATGTCCTAAAGATGCATTAATTGTACTTTTTTCTTAGTTTTATCAATGACCCAATTAAAATTCTACATGTGTCATTGTTATTGAAAATGAAATCAATTTTTGTGTGTTTTGAAAAAGAGATGCAATTAGACAAACCCCTCTGTATTAGTAACTCATACTCATTGGTATTTTGTTTCTTTTTATTCCTTCTCCCACTTTATCATTTCATTTATAATATTTCTTAGTCATTCCTTTCATCTCAATTTATCATTATTTATATCTTTTTTTCACCCTGATCTTTTTCTCTTGCCTCTTCTTTATATTAAAAATGTTATATGTCAAAACATAAAAGGCATAGCTTTTTAACATTATTATTTTAGTACATATTCATTTACTTTCTCCACGTTTTATTATTTCTCTTGGGCTTCATCTCTTACTGTTCATATTTTATCACCATATATTTTTACCTTATACACACTTTAATTTTCTCTCTTTTTCGTATTAGTAATTTATTTGTTATTATTATTTTTTATCTCCCTTATCTATCATTTTATTTTTTATTAGTCAAATCATTCCTTTTATATTATTCTTTTTTAGTCACTTTTTATATCTCAAACTCATCATTATATATCTTTTTTTAGCCTAATTTCCTTCTATCTCTTTGTTTATATTAGAAATATTTTAGGTGAAAACATAAGTAACACAACTTCTTAACATTATCCCCTAGTTCTTTTTCACTTCTCTTTATGCCTTAGGGGTAGGAGTATCCCCTATACTCATTCAAAATTTGTTTTCAACTATCACTATCATAATCTTCCTTTTGGTTCCTTTTTCTATTTTTTTCATAATCTTATAGGATATATCCAATATTAATAGCTCAACAAAACTCTTAATTAATAATAACCTTTAATACAAAATTCACCAACTTTCTTTATAGTACATGATAAGTTGAATTCTTACACATAATATGATGTTAATTTAGCCTTAATTTTGTTAATATTTGAATGGATTTAATATAATTTTATTCAATTTTACATTATTTTCATTATTTGTGTAGGATATAACTTAACTTTTAACAATCATAAATTTAGAACTAAATCACAATATTTCACATAGTAAAAAGTCAAATAAATTGGTGAAATTGAGGACTAAATGGTAGAATTCTAAAATTGGCCAAATCATAGAATTATGAAATCTAAGGACTAAAGTGTAAAAATTTTAGAAAATTGAGGACTAACATTATAATTTTACCATTAAGAAAAAAAGTTCAAAATGGAATTATGTGAAGCAGCTCCCTGTAATTGCACCAAACCAGAAGTTCCTCTTCAGTCTGCGTCTGCACTCCGGATTGACTTGCAAAGCCCCGAGATGGAACTCGGGGTAGACACTCCGATGCTTAAGTCAGCAATAATCAGGACTACCTTTAGAGCGGAGATAAAAGGAGCTTAGGGTTGGCTTCAATTACCTTTTGACGTGGCCCGTGGGGGGTATTTATAGGATCCAATGAGGAACCCACGTGGCATGTCAAGCAAGATATTTGGGATATGATGTATATCTCTAGACGGTTATTTTAGGACTGGGAAATTGAGAGATTTTTAGATGCGAGGATGTCTATCATAACTGCTGTGCAGCTCATCATAAGGAATCAGGTGCGGGCATGCTCATTGTCGCTGTTATGCAGCTATTTGAGCGGGAAGCTTTGGATTTATCCTTCACTTCGATCATAAAGGAATTACTGTAGCAGTCTGAGGCTTGGCACCTCGGACCTATCTTTACACTATTCCCCCCCGAAGTCATTCACTTGTGAATGATGTTGTTGGGGATAATGTGAGGAGTGCATAAACAAAGAGAATACAGATAAGTCATAGAAGTAGAAGGAAGAAGTAAAATCTGTAACTCGAATGCATACATAGCCGTAACTAATAATGAAGTATGCGATAGGGGGTCATGCTGGGGATGCCTAAAATAGAATGTGACCAGAGTGATCGTGGCCGTAGCCATGGTAAAAATAATGATCGGAGTCAGTGTGGTCGTAGCCATAGTAAGAGATGATGATCGGAGTCATGGTGGCCAAAGCCGTGATAAAAAATGATGACCGGAGTCATAATGGCCAGAGCCGCGATAAAATATAAAGACTGGAGTCATAATGGCCGGAACCATAATAAAATATAATGACCGGAGTCATAATGGCCGGAGCCGAAGCGAAACATGTGACACTGGGTCACTGTGGCAGTAGCCGAAGTGAAACGTGTGACAGTAAGTCACTATGGCCGAAGCCGATGTGAAATGTAATGCAGGATTATTGTGGTCGGAGCCGAAGTGAAACACTTGCAAAAATTGACAATGTGTAAAAGTGAGCGAGGGTGTTGAAATGGGCTTAAGTGGGCCTGTCTGAGAAGTCTGACAAAGGGGTAATACGTGGTGTGACAGTTCTCCTTTGAATGACATGCGCAATAAATGCGGCCGTAAAAAGATAACTGTAACAGTTAAATGGGCAGATTTAAAAAACGAACCGTCGAGCTCAAAACAGTGCCGTTTGGGGTTGACAGTCGAATTCCAAACGGTGTAAATAGAAACCGTAAGATTAAATGAATCCCAGCTGTTGAGATCTAATTTTGCGCAGAGGTATAAATAGGCATTTTTTTTTGCAGGAAGAAGTTTACTTGTATTTCATTTTTTGCAAAATTTCTGTAAAAAGCTTTACTGTGTGCTTCTTGCGCGTGAACTGTTGCATCATTTGGGGGTTTCCACATCAAGCTTACAAAACCAAAATCAGGTAATGTATACGAACCTCTGATTTTGGTTTAGTCGAAGTGTCACTTTCCTTTCTCCCTTTCTGTGGTTGATTTAGAGTCCTCTGAAGGAAGTTAGGGTTAGAAGTGAGAATGATTTTGAATGTGCGTTAGAGGGGGTTGTTTTGTTTTGTTTTTTTTTTTTAAAGGGTCTTGACTTCATTCCTCCCCCCTACTTTGTGCAGAGATTGAGAAAATGTCTTCAGAAGAAACAGTAAGTGTAGTAGGGAGTGAGGTAATGCCCCTGGATTATGGGAGCATGGACTCGGAGAGTAATCCGTCTCCATCTAGTTCGGAGAAAACGATGGAAGGGGTGAGAGGGGATGAGGTGGTGAGGGTTGGGGGGAATGAGATGGTGGGGGTTGAGGGGGATAGTGTGCCCATCACTGTGGTAGAAGTGGAGGGTAGGATAGAGAGGGGTTATGATGTAGAAGCAGACATAGTAGAAGAGGTGAAGTAGTACAAATCTGAACTCAGGACCAGGGATAGCCTGGGTCATTTAGTGGAGAATTACGAGATCTCTTCCCGAGTGTTAGTTAGGCCACTGGGGTAGAGGAGAGAGTGTGTTTTGCTTCTCGGGATCATTGGATGCCCGTATATGCCCATTATTTGTTTGTCGGGCTTAGGTTTCCAATTCCTGAGTTGCTAGTAGGTTTGCTATTAGATTATGGTATAGGGTTGACACAGTTAGTCCCCAATGCTATGAGGGTAATAATAGGATTTTTAGTTTATTGCCAAGCTTAGGGGATTAGTGTGCCAACCGTAAATATGTTTAAATACTTTTTTGTTTTAAAGGGGGGTAGTAGGAAGGATAAGGGGTGGTATTATTTCACCCCTAGGGTAGCTAATAGGGAGAGCAGGGCTTTATTTATGGCGGGTCCTTCATCCATTAAAGGATGGAAGGAAAAATTCTTTTTTGTAGATGATACGGAGTGAGAGAAGAGGGATACCGAGGTGAGGGAGTTAGCATCCTGGAAGGCTAAAAGAGCCAACCAGAATAAATTTAGCTTAAATGAGGATGAGGAGGAAGAAGTGGGGAAGCTGGTGGGGAAGGGGGGGGGATTTACTGAACATCATGGACCTCACCAACGCACAATGCATAGAAGCTGCTGAGCTCTATGGGCCAAGTGCTATAAGTGAAGGTTTGTTTAACTTACATTGTAGTACTGGATGTAGAATATAGAACTGTGTGATTGATATTGCGTGTTTCTTGTTCTGCAGCTGAAATGGATAATTTTTTGAACACTGCTGGAGGAGTGGCCATCCCCAAGAAGCTGCGGAAGAAGTCAAAGACTTCAACCAAGCAAGTGGATGAGGGGAGAGCTGGGAAGGAGGTAGTGCCCACTACTTCAGCTGAGGCGGAGGAGGAGGTGCCACAGTTGAAGAGGAAGGGTTGGGAGGAGAGAAGGGCACTATAGAAGAAGAAGAAGGTGATGGAGGAGGAGGAGAGGGGGAGCGAGGTTCCCCAGTTCGTACCTCAGCCTCTTCTTGTTGAGCTTGACCCTAAGCTCAGACAGTTGGAGGAGGGGGTTGAGGTACGAGCTCCCGGTAAGGGAAAGGGCCCTGTTCCCCCGTTGGCATTTCAGAGTAGCCTGTTCGAGACGAAGAACATGACGGGGGCTAGGAGGTTCATCAACACCACCTTCCCCGAAGTGGACAAAAGCAACGCATAGGACGAGGCTCTGAGGTATTGTGGGGCTTCAATAGTGAAGCATGTGTTGGAGGTATGTTAAGTTATTTGTATTTATTGGTGTTGTTTGTTCAATCTCTTTCTTCTTTTGCTCTTAACTTCTGCTTTGAATTGCAGAGCGCGAGCTGGGTGAATGGTCTAGCCCAAGAGTTCATGGATAGCGTGAAAGAGTGCTCCCTCTTGCAGAGGCAGTGTGACCAGCTGCAGAGAGAGAAGGAGGAGTTGGAGAAGAAGAATAAGGAACTGCAAGAGGCGCTGAATGAGGTGGTTCCAACTGTGAAACAGCTGGAGCAGGAGAGGGTTTCCCTGAGCACCAAACTTGTCTTTGAGGAGAGCAAATGAAGGATCTCTGAAAGCGAGCGTGAGGCTTAGGCGAAGGAAATAACGCTGATGAAGGATGCCTTCATGGAGCTGAAGGAGAATGTGCAGGTGTTGGTGCACAATGGGATGAAGGAGCACATCAACAACTTCATCAACTCCAGCTCGTTTGACAATATCGTCAACTTATACCGGCTGCCAACTGCCATCATTGCTTTCACAGACTGCAGAAAGAAGGTGAAGGCTGAATATCCCGAAGTGGATATTACAAAGATCACTTTCGGCGAGCAAGAAGAAGGAGTGGAGGAGAACGGTGAGAGCATGTCAGCAAACTTCCGTCCTCAGATCAAACTGAAATGGGATCATGATGCGGACGGACGCGTTGTTTTCCCTCCACAGTTCTACTTCGAGTTCGTTGTAGTGGAGGAAGAAGGGGTAGAGGTAGAGGAAGACGAAGTAGAGGCAGGAGTGGAAGGAGCTAAAGTGGATGAGAACTTGTTGACTCAAGGTACTCCAAGAGGGGGGGTGAATTGGAGTTCCAAAAATTCTCCCTTTTTTGCAACCACAAAACCAAAATTAAAGAGAGTAGAGAAGAAGAGCTTGCCCAATGATTTATAGAGGTTCAGTCCAACCACTTGGAGCCTGGTCCTCTACCTTGGCTTCACTCACCAAGGATTTCCTCCACACTCTCCACTAACAACAACAAGGGTGGCTTAAAGGAGCCACTCAATCCTTTTACAACAAGATGAGTATTTCTCTCAAACCTCACCCCTTTACAATGTAAATCCCACAAATCCTCTCAATAGATCACTCTTGAAGGAATCAACACACCCCCAAGATCACTCACTAATAGCACAAGAAGAGGATTACAAATAAAGAACTCTCAAAGATCAAAATCTCAAGTCAAAGCTCATGTAGGTAGGTAAAGATATTCAATACAATACTCTCTAAACTTCTTCAAATCTGTTACCAACCATATTTATAGCCCCTTGCTCGAAAATAGTCGTTTTTAGCCGTTGGGGGTCATTAAATGCCTTGCAGGACACGAAACTCGAGTTGCAGGATTGTCAAGAGAGCCGGCTTAACTTCCTAGAGCCGGCTCTGTACAGCTGGCTCACATTTTCTGAAGCCGGCTCTGCGGGTTTCCTGCATTCTGTTTTCTCCATAGGGTCGGCTTAAGAATTCTCCGTAGAGCCGGCTTAGAAATTCTGCAGCCGGCTTGGCGGGATTCCTGCACATTTTGTTTTCTTCCACAGCTGGCTGCAAAGCCTAGAGCCGGCTTTGGGATTCCAACTTTAAACACATTAAATAATCTTCAAATAACTCGACCGTTGTGCATTAAATGCACCCTCACAGCCAGCTGCAAAGTTGGAGCCGGCTTTGCGTCCTTTCTCCGCGCGCGCCAAACAACAGTCTTCAAATTTTTGCCTGTAGAGCCGACTGCAGCTTCCAGAGCTGGCTCTCTACACTTCCATTTCACTAGAGCCGGTTGCAGCTTTCAAGAGCCGGCTCTCTGCACATTTTGAATCCTTTTGGTCTATTTTTAGTGTAATCCAAGTTTACTTGCAATCTTTTAGTAACTTAACTACACACTTAAATAAACCAATTAGTCACTCAAATGTGTTTTGTGATCATCAAAATCATAGGTACAACAGAACCAACCAGCTCTAGAAGTGGAGATTCATCCAGTTCCTTCTGACGATGAGCAGCCTCCTCTGCCAGACGAGCAGCAGCCAACAAAGCCACCTCTTCCAGTTGAACAGGAGTCAGTTTAGCCACCTCTTCCAGCGGAGGAATAATTTTTTTTTTAATTTTTGTAAAAACATTTAAACAATTTGTAACACTGTTATCATTTGAATGAAATTTCTATGTTGAAATCATATGTTGTGTTTGCTTTATAATTTTATTACTTTATATTAATAGAAGAACTGAGACTACTTTGGATATGTTATAAAGGAAAGTTAATCATTTCAAAGATAAAAAAGAAGTTAATCACTTCGGAAACGAACTAAAGAGAAGTAAACCACTTCAAATGAATTAAGAACAAGTACATCACTGCAAATGAATTGAAAGGAGATAAAGCACTTCATATGTGAAGTGACATTTATTAACAGAAGTGAGGTTCAAGGAATGAATGGACTGATTGACCTCGGATACTCAAAATAAGAGGTAAAATGAATCTCAACAACCACGAAGTAAGAAGTGTAAAGAACAGTAAGACATAGGTCACTTGAAAGAATTTTATTAGGGGTAAAATTTCTTCAAGTTATTGACATTCCAGACTCTAGGAACTTTCTTTCCTTCAGCGTCTTGGAGGATATAGGCACCAGGATGTGGCACCTCGGCCACGGTATAAGGGCCTTCCCAATTCGGGATGAGTTTGCCAAAACAAGTTTCAAACCCTGTTAGGCCAGCTTTTCTGAGAACAAGGTTTCCTACTTTGAATGTTCGAGGGCGAACTCATTTATTGTAGAAGTTGGCTAGTTTCTGCTTGTATACAAGAGTTCGAAGCCGTGCTTGGGTTGCCATTACTCGTTTATCTGCGAACTCGGGTTTAAAAGCCGCAAGTATAAACAACAACAAGAAAGAGGCAACAATTGACTTTACTGGTGAGGACAAAAATCTCCCAACTAATGGCAAAGTAACCATCAACAAAGGCCCTGGCACGGGAGGTCAGAACAAGGGCGAATTATGTGCAAGTATCAACGACAACGAAGGTAAAATCAGTTTCTAATTAATTGTATGTTGAGGACTAGAGGTAATATATAAAATAAATAAGTAGCTGCTTCAGTGGTGACTACGCTGGTTATTATCTGAGCAGCCGATAGATACATACCTTGAGGCCAAAAAGAGTGTTTCTGTAAATATATATATATATATATATGTTGTACTGTATTTGATTATGAGTAATAAATAATATGTTGTACTTGTTTAATTAGCATATTAATTTTGTGTAGTCAATTTATATTCCTTATTGTTTATGCAATTATTAAGCTTGTATCAGTGGCTTAATAAGCTTCTGCTAGCTCCTGGGGTAATATATAGGATGGAAACGGTGGTGTGACGGATCTAATGGTGCCATGCAATGGGTTCGAAGGTGTGCAGGGCTTTTGTGTTAGTGGTTGCGGGGGTTACTGACGAGGAGGTAGGGGTGAGGCAACGGACAACGACGTCGCCTCTCAACCATGGCTGGAAGTGGGCTGGTGGCATGGTTGTTAAAATCGTGGGTTTTGAAAAATCGATCGAAGATCGCGCACAAAATCGTGAGATCGTGCGCTCTTAAACGATTTTAGAAACTAAATTCTTCTGAGATTATGGATGATAATTAAGAATTTTAAAATTAATTATTCTTCTTCTCCGGCCACGGCAGAATCTCCATCTCTAGAACTTCATTGTTGCCACTGGTGCTGCGTTGCCGTTGGTGCTGGCTGCTTGGCCCTCAATGCTGCCTGCGTTGCCGCCAATGCTGCCGCTTGCCGCTTGC